TGGAACACAGTCTCAAGTGCAGTGGGGGCTGTGTATGCACATCGAGATGGTCACTGCTGCCCCATGGCTGGTCACATTGAGTGGTCCAGCTGAAGTCCCTTTTCCGAGGGAGGCAGCAGTGAACAGAAATAGTTGAGGGCATGGGTTTTGGTGACAGACCTGCCATCTGTGCTGACATTGGGCCAATGGCTTCACGTCTCTGAGGCCGAGTTTCTTCATCTGTAAAGGGGGGATGATACTGGAACCCACCTTCCTAAGCTGCCAGTTGCCTTATCACATGTGATGACGAGCACACTTCGCACAGTCTATGCCTGCTTTTCCCACTTTTCATCCAGCTCTCCAACCAGCTGCTCCAGTCGCAGTTCCTTGCCGCCTGGCTGATCAGCATACTTCTTTATTCCTGTGGCTCCTTGGAGATTCTTGGCGTGATGAGAGCCCCAGTCCAGGGGTGGCTGGCAGCCCCCTGGCCGGGTGGAACAGGACAAGTAGGGGTATGAGCAGGATCTGACTGCGTGCTTTCACCTAGGAAACTGGAGGCGACCAGTGCCCAGAATATCGAGTTCCTGCAAGTGATTGCCAAGAGGGAGGAGGCAATCCACCAGTCCCAGCTGCGGCTGGAGGAGAAAACACGAGAATGTGGGACCCTGGCAAGGCAGTTGGAGAGCGCCATTGAAGATGCTAGAAGGCAGGTCAGTCTCAGTTCCATTACTAATAAGCTCTGTGACCTTGGGCAATCACCTCAACTCTGTGAGCCTGTCTTCTCATCTGAAAAATGGGTATAAGGTAGTACCTTACTTATGAATTTACCACAAGGACCAAATGAACAGTTATGGTAAAGGATCTGGCACTTTACTCATGATTGCTCATTTAATTGCTGCCTGCGTAGGTTTGCCACATCTTAAGCTGACGACTCACAGGGTGGTGGGCAGGGGCAGGTAGAGCTGGCTGTAGAGGTTGTCCCCATAGTTAGCTTCCGCCCTGAGGCTCCAAAGACCTCTCCATGGCAATGTGCAAGTGTTGACAGAGAGACCAGATAGTGGGCGTGGCCCAGCCCTCTCCTTGCCAGGTGTTCCCCATGTCAGGTAAGCCAGCTCCACCTCTGTACTTTCTGGGCAGGTGGAACAAACCAAGGAGCACGCAGTCTCCAAGGAGCGAGCAGCCCAGAACAAAATCCTGGACCTTGAGACCCAGCTGAGCAGGACCAAAACTGAACTCAACCAACTGCGGCGGAGTCGAGATGACGTGAGTTGGGCTGGAGGACGGGAGGGAAGAGAAGGGAGAGGATTGAGATTCTGGCTTCCTGCGGACTGCAGGGCCAGGTGTTTTGTTGTTTTTATGAATACGTCATGATTAGATTTTTCTCTAATCGTTTTCTCATCCCTGAAGTATATCCCAAGCTTTGTTAAGATGTCATTTATATACCATAAAATCCAATCATTTAAATTGCACAAGTCAATGTATATTCACAGAGTTGTATATTCTGTGAATATAGTATATTCACCACCATCTAAGTTGAGAATATTTTCAGAAAGAGACCCTGGACCCATTAGCAGCCACTCCCCACTCCCCTTCCCATCAGCCCCTGGCAACCACTAATAAAGTCTCTGCCTCACCATGAACCTGTCTGTTCTGGACGTCTCACACACGTGCCCCGGCTCCTTCTCCTCTTAGGCTGACCGTCGCTACCAGAGCCGGCTGCAGGACCTGAAAGATCGCCTGGAGCAGTCGGAGAGCACCAACCGCAGCATGCAGAACTACGTCCAGTTCCTCAAGTCGTCCTATGCCAACGTGTTTGGGGACAGTCCTTACACTACCTACCTGACCAGCTCTCCCATCCGCTCCAGATCGCCTCCAGCCTGAGGCCGCAGGTCTTGGTCTTGGGCCGGAAGCCCAGATTGATGTCATGGGAACTGAGGAGTTGAGTTGCCAAGCCCTACCTGGAAAGCCTGTTGGTTTTCCTCTCTCTTCCAGTGTGAAGTGTATTCAGGATCTTGTCCTTAGCTACTGGCTCCATGAAAGTCCCTAAAGCAGGAGGGGATGAAGGAGCAGGAACCACTTAGTTCACTCCTCTCTGATAGAGTTGCCTGATGGAAGTTTCTAATTACCTTGCCAGGCCTTAAGTCTACTATTAGGGTCCCACATTTTCACTCACCATGACTTGGCTATTTCCTGTCCCGGGAGACTGTTGGGACTAGATTTTTCCCTCCAGTCCCCTTACAACCCTCTTTTTCAGGACTATCTTTCTTGGGTTTCCTTGAGCCTGAACCGGCAGGAGCTGTGAGCCAGAGGTCCTCACTGCCCCTCCTGGGCTGTGAGCATATTCAAAAAAATTCCCTTATTATGGGCACGGTGTTTTCCGCAAAGCTCCCTTCCCAAGCCCAGTGGAAGCCTCTCTCACCCGAGTCCTTTAGGCCACTTGCCCCCACGCACTTCACAGTAGACACTCAAGGGCTCCTGTCCAGTTGGCCTTTTAAACGTGCGATTCCAAGCTCATTGATTTTTGTTTCTTGTTGCCAGGTTTGTATCTATGGAATGCATTTATTCCGGAAAGATTTGTATTGTTTTACAAAAAGCTTTTATAATCAATATTTAAGACTCCTTTGGATGATTTCCTTTACCCACCCCATCCCTCTTCTAAAAATGATTAAGTAAAATGCTGCAGGAGAGCCAGTAAACACTTTTAAAATACTTGGTGCATGGAACATTAGTCTTTTGATTTCATTTTGGCCCAGATTGGTTCTTTCTCCTTTGTGTGCTTTCACATTATAACCCTGTGAGATGACTGGAGGCCTTGCTGTGTTTGGGGAAGGATCACTTTAACTTACGAGGACGATGCAATGTGCATATGTTACTATTTTTAAAACATGATGCATATGTTACTATTTTTAAAACATGAATTGGTTTCTGAATGATAAGGTTTTTGGCTATTTTTTCTCTTCCTATTTTCCTGTATTTAAAAGAACAACAAATTCTTTAGAGAGGAGAACAAAGTTGATACTGTGCTGAACCCTAACCTTTTCATTCTAGCTGGTACTGGCCTTCTGGGTGATCCAGTCTAGTCCTCTCTCAGCCACTCTAACCCAAGTCCACAACACCAGAGAATGCCCTTGTCCTCAAAGGTAATGGGCCCCACCCAGACGTCTGGATTTCACAAGAAAACTCCCAAATTTTGTAGTGTTCAGCTTTCATTTTGCCAAGGAAGTTCTGAAAAAACAACTACCAGCTGCCATTGCCACAGAACCAAGCCTGTTTTCACACCCTTAACATAAACGGACTTGAACTTACAATCTATGAAAGACCGTCCCAAGAAAAGACAGTTGCCATTTACACCTACGTGCATACTTATTTCTATATCTCATTATTGTCAAACCTCAGCGCAGGGACCTGGTATTTATATTGCTGGTGTGGGAAACACCTCAGAGTCCATTGTTGGGACTTTCCCAACAATGTTTTTCTTGTCCAGAGAGTTTGTAAAAAAAAAAAAAAACCCCAAAATGAAAAATATTTATATTGCTTCAAACTCGAGAGAGACGCCTTCCTACTTCAAACTGATCTCATGAAATAGGCAAAAAGAGGGTCAAAGTTAAAGGGTTCTAATTAAAGCTGGCTTTGGGTGATAGTAAAGCACATTTATTTTTATTGATATAATTCACATACCATGAACTTCACCCTTTTAAAGTATCTAATTGTGTTTTTTAGTATAATCACTAAGTTGTGCGACACTCACTACTATCTGATGTTAGAACATTTTCATCACCCCCAAAAGAAAGCCTTATTCGTTAGCAGCCACTCTCCTCCCTGCATCCCAGCACCTGGCAACCACTAATAAAAGTCTCCTTGTCTCTATGGAGTTGTCATTCTGGACTTTTCACATAAATGAAATTATACAATATGTAACCTTTTGTGGCTGACTTCTTTCACTTAGCATGTTTTCAAGGGCCATCCATGTTGTAACATGTATTTGTACTTCGATTTTATGACACTGTTATTTTATTTACCCATTTATCAGTTGATGGACTTTGGGGTTCCACTTTTTGGCTATTATACGTGAACATCCAGGTTTTTGTATGGATGCATATTTTTATTCTCTTGGGGAGATACCTAGGGGAATTGCTGGGTCAAATGGCAACTCTAACCTTTTTGTGGAACTGCCAGACTGTCTTCCACAGCAGCTGCCCCATTTTAGAGTCCTACTCGCAGTGTGGGAGAGGTTCCAATTTCTTCACATCCTCATCAATAACTACATATTTCCCTCTGCAATCAGGAGGCTTTGGGTTTCAGAGGCCCTCTGGACTGGAGCTCCCTGCGAGCTCCCAGTTTCCGAGTCCAAACTACGCGCCCGCCCGTGTGCCGGCGGACGGGTCAGCACCGGAAGTGGTGTGTGCGTTGCTCTACGCTGCTGCGCACGCGCCCCGGAAGCGGAAGCGAGCCCCCGTTTCTGGGCGGCTGATTCGAGGTCTTGTTTTGTCACAAGCGGCAGCTCGGGAGAGCTGCGGCCGGGCGTGCGATGCCGTCGGAGGGTCGCTGCTGGGAGACCCTGCAGGCACTGCGCAGTTCCGACAAAGGTCGCCTTTGCTACCACCGCGACTGGCTACTGCGGGGCGAGGTGAGCAATGGACCTGGAGGGGGCTGTGTGGCCCTTCTGGCCCCTGCGCCGGGAACCCGTGCATCCTAACAACCCACATTTGTTTCTTGACTTCTGTGTGGCTGCATTATCCTGTCCTGGGATTTCTGCCTTCTCCGGCACATTCTAGGCATTGGGGAACACTCCTTATGTCAGAAGTGCTCTTTCTGAAGGCTTCATTGCTCCCCAACCAGAGTTAGGCGCCTCCGCCCATGTTGTCAAAGCAACCCAGGCCTCAGGGTCAGTTAATTTACGGCGCGCCTCCTGTGCTAAGAGATCCAAATTTTAGCAGTGAACAATTAATATGACCTAACCTATTGCTGCCAGTAAAAAGACCAGAGTTTTAGATGACATTGGACGGACCCGTAAAGTTTAATGGGGGCGTGGTCACTGTATTTGTAAAGTCCTGTCCTAGACCGCTGGAGGGGGGGATGTAGGGACAGTTCAGATTTAGCTCCTGTTCCCAAGTCGCTGGTAATCTAGCTACTTCAGACTTTTTGTGAAACAATTCTGAAGCATTTCTCTTGTTTTTTTATGTCTTTGACAGTTTTAAAGAATACATGCCTTATATACTGTAGGGTGAGTCCCAGCATGGATCTGTCTGGTGTATACTCAGAGTATGCATTCTTGGCAGGACTACCACAGAAATGCTGTGTTTTCAGTCACTCCAGGAAGCACACAGATGCTTCAAACCATCCTGACACCACTGGTGATGCTACTAACCTTGATCACCTGGTCACTTTGGTATCTGCTAGATAGCTCCACTTAATTCATCATTTATCCCTTTTAACTAATTAGTATTCGTGGAGAGGTGTTCCAAGATGACACCAATATGTAGCTTTTCTCTCATCAGAACTCCACTCTTAACATTAATGGATTTCTGCCTAAACCAGTCACCTCTGTGATAGAGCCAAATGGTGTTTTCCTTATATCCACCATTCCTTCTACATTTGTCAGTTGGCATTGTACCATAAGGGAGGGCTTTCTTTTCTCTCCTGTTTAATTAATTATATTAGTACAGACTCATAGGTTCTTATTTTATTCAGTGAGATCTTATCCATTGTAACCTTGTGCATGTATATTTCACCCTGTAGGAGGTATATCTTCAAGATAAACTTCTAGAAGTGGGATTGTTGGATCAAAAGATAAACATGTAGTTTTTGTTATATATCACCTAATTCCTTCCCATAATAGGTTTACCATTTACTTTCCAATCAGCAATGCATGATTGTGCCCATTTGCTCACAGCTTTGTGAACAGAATGTATTACTATACTTTTAATTTTTGCTTATCTAATAGGTAAACATAAGGTCTCAGTGTAGTTTTATAATACATTTCATTTTTGATTGAGATTGAACATTTTTTCATATATTTAAGTGATAACTTTATATCTTTATTCGTGAATTGCCTGTTTAAGTCATTTGCCCCTTTTTCTGGTGGGGTTTCGGTGGGGTTTTCTCCCCTTAATTTTTACAAGTTCTTTATGTATCAGGGATAATAGACCTTTATCTGTGATATATAGTGCACGTATTTCTTCTAGTTTGTCATGTTGAATTTTTTTCTGCTTATGGTGTTTTTTGTATGTAACTTTGCCTCTGGAATTTATTTTGGGGTATGAATAGTAACAAGGTAGCAACGTTATTTCTAGTATATCTTTAAACTGAGCCTCATCATTGTCTAAAGTGTACATAAAGCATTTTGCTTCTGTGTCCAGATGGTTCCTCATGGGTTGAATATCTATTTTTTGTACATGGGACGTGTACCTATGATCTAGATCAGGAATTCTCAACCACAGCACCTTTGACATTTTGGGCCGGGCTGGATAATTCTGTTGTGGGGTGGGGGCCGCTATTGCTGTCTTGTGCGTTATAAGAGGTTTAGCAGCATCCCTGGCCTCTAACCACTAGGTGCCAGTAGCAACCTCCCGGTTGTCTCCAGACATTGCCTAATGTCCCCTGGAGGGTAAAATTGGCCCTGCCCGAGAACCACTGATCCAGATAAAATAACAGCTTGCAATTTTTGAGTAATTATTATGTGCCAGGTTCTGTTCTAGGTCCTTTATTATGCTTTTAACAGCACCGCCCTCCCTCAATCTTTTGAAGTAGATCTTTTATTCCATTTTAGAAGCGACGAAGCTGAGGCACAGAGAGGTTAGGTAGCTTGTCCGAGGTTTTACAGGTAAGTGGAATGCTGAGATGGAATTCAAACCAAGAAAGGCTGGTTGTAAACTCAGAGCTCTTAATCACTAGTATACTGTTCTCTCCATATTGCCTGATAGTATTTTCCTGACATCAAGTGAAGTTACCAGGCAAAATTTGCTGTGTACTTTAACTACAATGAAATGATACAAGCTTCTCTGGTTTAAAGCACTGTACACTAAACATATTGTTAACTGGTACAGTTGAATAAGTTGTTCACACACACCCTGGAGAGCATCTAGGACTTGTTTTATAGTCTTCTGTTATAAATTCCATTTTTTAAGCCATGGGCTTTTACATCAGTAACTACTTTTCTTTGCTTATTTTTTATGTTCATATTTTCACTTTAAAATTATAATGTTTATTTAAAAAGTTAATATGTAAAATTAGAACAAGGAGAAATATGTCACTTATTACCTAAGCATAACTTCTGGAATATTTCCTTCATGTTTTTTAGTGTAGCAGCATTTGTTTTTATTTTATGTAATTGTAGACATACTGTATTTATACTCTTTTTTTCCACTTAAAATTGAATCTTAAGTTAGTTAGCACATAGGATTCACAATCAGTATTTTTTAATGACTGATCTCCCACTGTGTATACTATAGTTTACTTCAAAATTCTTCTAGTGTTCTTTTCTCTTCCAACATTTTAAATTGCTTTTTCATATGCTTTAATGACCATCTTTGTGCATTATTTTTTTTTCTGTAGTTAGGGTTATTTAGTCTGATACTCTAAAAGGAAAATAGAGTCATTATCAAGAAACTACTGTACTCTCTCTTCATCTCTGATTATTAATGCAGTTACTTTGGGTCTTTGGTATTTACGTATGTATGTTTGCGTACAGCCTTTTTAGATTTTCAGGAAGGCATGTAGTGGGTTATCTTTGGTTGCTTAGATCAGTTGACATGCCAGTTGAACTTAACCCTCTCCTTCTCTCTAGGATGTTTTAGAAGAATGTATGTCCGTTCCCAAGCTATCTTCCTACTCTGGATGGGTGGTAGATCATGTCCTACCCCACAAGCAAGAGAACCGATCTCCTTCTGAGACTTCATCCTCCTCCAGATCTGCTTCAGCCCTAGATCAACCTTCATTTGTTCCCACATCTTCCGTCAGAAGCCTTGCCTTCTCACAAGGCTCCTCAGCAACACCAGATGGAACCAAGGTAAGGTTTTTAATAGGCTGCAGCCAAAAGACAGTGGTGGCTGCAAAGTCGAATCATTTAACATTGTCATAGGAGAGTGACCTTACCCTGGGGAAAATAATGATTGCTTTTTGTTGTAGCTGTTTATAGGGACAGTGTGGGTTATACCACTCAGTGTTCTCTTTATAAAGACCGAGAAAGAGAAAGTTTCCTCTAACTGCCAAGAATAGGAATTAATGTTATGAGCGATTGGGTTGTTTTTTCTCCTAAACCTTGCATCTTTTTAACTGGTAAGGCCTCCCTCTTTGTGCCGGTTGCTGGAAGCCTTAGAGTAAAATTTACACCTGCTCTTAAAATTTGTATACCTTACTTATCATTAGTTCTGAATGAGTTTTTACTTTTTTGTTGTCTCTGGTTTGCCCCTGCCTTTGCTTCTCTCACTTAACATCTGTTAAATTGTTCTTTTTCTTGTTGCTATACTTTCAAAGTTCTTTGTTCTTTTCGCCCTTCCCCGCTGCAGACTTTCAGTTATTGAAAAAACATTACCATAGCATCAGAAGAAAAAATTTAAATCTCCCTATCATATCATCATTTCAGTCAACAGCTACTTCTTTCCAGGCTCGTATGCTGACTATTTGTACCTTGACATAATTAAGTTGTATATGCACTTTTGATTCTACTTCCTTCCTAACATTATTTTGTTCACGAACTATTTTTCACGTTATTTCCACCTTTGTAAATGTTGTACTTACCAGATATATAATATTCTGTAATTCAGAGGTCCCCAACCCTTAGGTCGTGGACTGGTACTGGCCCATGGCCTGTTAGAAATGGCTGCACAGCAGGGGATGAGCGGCAGGCCAGCAAGCGAAGCTTCATCTGTACTTGCAGCCGCTCCCCTGCGCTAGCATCACCGCCTCAGCTCCACCTTAGGTCACCAGGCATTAGATTCTCATAGGAGCACTGGTCCCCAGTGCCAAAAATGTTGGGGACCGCTGTTATAATTTATTAAACAGCTCCTGTTTAATAGTGCTGCTGTGAACACACGTACGTGTGTTATTTTGAGTACTAGTTCTCAGTTCTTTTGGGTCTATACCCAGAACTGGAATGCTGGGTCACATGGTAATATATGTTTAATTTTTTGAGGAACCACCGTACTGTTTTCCACAGCAGCTGCACCATTTTACGTTCCTCAGCAGTCCACAAGGGTTCCAGCTTCCCATCTTTGCCAGTGTTTGTGATTTTCTGAAAACTTTTTATATAATAGCCATCCTAGTGAGTGTGAAGTGGTATCTCATTGTGGTTTTGATTTACACTCTCTAACGATTAGTGATGTTGAGCATTTTTCATGCGCTATCTTCTCTTGAGAAGTGTATGCAAGAGTTATTCACAACAAACAAGAGTTTACAATACAGTAATTTATAATCCTAAAAAGTAATTTAGATTAGAGATGATTATTCATATTATAAAAGACTGCACTGTTCTCTGCCTATAAAGTTTATTTTTTAGTTTATATGTAGCACATCATCTTTAAAAATATTAGTCTTTAAATTTTTTTTTCTAGCAATTGAACATTATAGGCAAAAAAAAAAAATGAATTTCAGTCTTACATCACACCTTACGTAAAAATTAACTCAAAGTGATCACAGACTTAAATGTAAAACAGTAAGACTTCTATGAAAAAACAAAATTGGAACCTATGGCTTGGTGGAGAGTTTTTAATTTTGATGCCAAAAACACAATCCATTAAGGGAAAAATCGATAAATTGAACCTCATCAAAATGAAAACCTTTGTTCTTTGAACAACCCGGTGAAGAGGATGAAAAAACAAGTTATCGACTAGGAGAAAATAGTTGTAAAACTGCATATTTCATAAAGGTTTTTTTTATCTAGAATATATAAAAAACTCTCAAGACTCAAACGTTTAAAAAAATCACTTTCTAACCTTTAATTAGAAAATATGGTAAGATGTGTACAGACATTTCTCTTAAGACAATGTACAAATGGGAAGTGAGTATATGAAAATAGTTCAACATCATTAACTATTAAGGAAATACAAATTAAAACCAGAATGAGGTAGTACTACACACCTATCAGAATGGATAAAATAGGGAATAGTGACACCAAATGCTGGCAATGATGTGGAAAGTCAATCACTCATACATTTTGGGTGGGAATGTAGGATGGTACATAAAGCCACTTGAGAACATCGTTCGGCAGTTTCTTAAAAACTAAATATGTACTTAACTAGCAATTGCATTCTTGGGCATTTTCCCCAAAGAATTCAAAACTTACATTCACATAAGAAGAATCTGTACACCAATGTTCATAGCAGCCTTATTCATAATATCCTAAAACTGGAAACAACTAAATGTCTTTCAGTAGGTGAATGGTTAAACCGTGGTGAATCTATACCATGGAGTACTACCAGCAGTAAAAAGCCAATCTCAGGCGGTTAAGTACTATATGATTTCATTTATTTAACACTCTTGAAATAAAATCATTATAGAGATGGAGAACAGATTAGGAATATAAGGTAGGTGTGGCACAAGGAAGCTTTATGGTGATAAAACAGTTCTATACCTTGATTGTGATGATGATTATAGGAATCTACATGTGATAAAATTATGTAGACCTGTCCACATACAGAAATGAATGCCTGTAAAACTGGTGAAATTTTAATAAGTTCTGTGGCTTGTACTGATGTCAATTTACTGTTTTTTATGTTTTTCTGTATTTATGGAGATCTTACTATTGGGGGAAACTGGGCAAGGCATAAACAGGAGCTCCCTGTACGAATTTTTGCAGCTTCCTATGAATTATAATTATTTCAAAAGACGAAAATTTTTTTTAGAGTTTCTATGAGCAGCTTCTCAAAGGGAGCATGTTCTAGTTCTGATCCTGCCGATATTACGGCATGCCCTCCAGCAAGCATCTTTTCTTCATTAGGCCTCTGGTTTTTTTACCCATATAATTTGGTACTAGACTAAATTGCCGAGGTCCTCTCCAGGTACAAAATTCCATAATTCTTGAGGTTTACATAAAGTTTGGGATGGCTTTAAGTAATGGATTACTGTATCATTTAGGAATTTTTGGTATTAAATAACAGAAACCCAGTTGGTAGCTTAAGCAAAAAGGGGGCGGGGCTAGGAATTGAATGGCTTATATTGCCAGGAAGTCTAGGTGTGCATTTGGAATCAGTGATCTAGATAATCTATTTTTTGTGTATTTCTGCTTGACATTATTTCTGATTTGATCCAGTGACCCAAACATAGGGCTTTTGCCTCTCCATCTCTCAATTCAGCCTAACCCTATTGGTTTCATTTTTCAGATAGACTCTCTCTGGCAAGATGGCTATTGGTAGCCCTAGATACACATCCTTTTACGTTAGCATCCCCAGAAGAAGGGAAAGCCTTCCCAGATAGCTCCATCATAGAAATTCAAAGGTGGACTCTGCTCTAGCTTGGCTCATAAGCCTCATTGCTGCTGTAGATACTGGCTACAGGGGCTAGAAGACTTTGATTACCAGCTGGTCATATGCTTACTCCTGAGGCTAGGAGGGTGGAAGAGTTGGGACGTCGGTTAGGCTTGTTCACCCAAACCATCCTAGCACAAATGGAGAAAATTTGGCTGGGCAGATCAAAACAAGTGGAAAAGCAAAAAAGAAAAAAGAAAGAAAAAGAAAGAAAGGAAGGGAGGGAGGGAGGAAGGAAGGAAAGGAAGAAAGGAAGAAAGGAAGGAAAGGAAGGAAGGATGGAAGGACAGACCCAAAGTTCAACAAACACCAATTTATTAAGAAAAACAATTAGAATAAAGTCAATATCACGAAAAGCACACTGGTGTAACCTAATTTATTTTGTCGTGTTATTACTTGTCCGTAAGTAGGGATGTGGTTTTTGTCCAGAAGAGAAAACACCAACTGTCGTACCTTCTTAAAAGCTTAATTTTTCTGTTTTCTCTCTATATAGGGCAAACATGAGTCCCAGCATACAGAATCTATGGTACTTCAGTCCTCCAGGGGGATCAAAGTGGAAGGATGCATCCGAATGTATGAGCTGGTGCACAGAATGAAAGGAACAGTAAGTGACCCATGAAGCAAGGCAGGCTTGACCTTAGGGAGCCATATTTAAATGCAGTGTCTCAGGGTTTATGACTGCTCGCTATATGCTAATCATCGTGCCCCACCTCCTAGTAGCTCCCAGTTCATTTTTGGGGATGGTATAATGTAGCCATCAAGAGTAAGCCCTCTGAAGTCAAATCTAGTTTTAAATCTACACTCTCCTATTTTACATGTGACTTTGGGAAAATTACTTAGCCTTTCCTAGCTTTTATTTACTTCTGCAAAATTTGAAGGTGATCTGGGGTTGTCAGATAATATTATACTGAGAAGATGGGCCTTAATAGCCTCTTGAGAAAAGGATAGCATTATTTTAATTAATTTATTTGGCTTTATTATTTTTTATTAGGAAAGCAGTGCATGATTTTGTAAAATTTTTTAAAAAACACATGAGTTTATAAAGTCAAAGTCTTCTGGCATCACCCTTATTCATTTATGCATTGAGACAACAAATATTTACTGAGCACTTATGTGCTAGATGCTGTTTTAGATCTAGATAAAACAGTGGACGGAGTAGACATGGATCCGTGTCCTCATGGAGCTTACATGCTGGTGGGGAGAGACAGAAGTAAACACGAGAAATAAGCAAAATATAGTTAGAAGACTTATAATCTGAGTGAAAGAAGGGAACACCATTAAAGCACTAAAAAAAAAAAAATGGTGGTTGCTTAGACTAGGGTGGTAGTAGTGGAGATCATGTGTGGGGGTGGGGGAGGGGAGAGGAGCGAGAGAGAGGAGAGAGAGTTGTTGAGTCTCTTTTCCTTCCCAGCTCTTATTTAAACAGAGTCTCAGAGGAGAAGATATGTATGCTTGTGCTAAATTTACCTTCTTGCCCTGGAAGTTTTAAAAACTTTAAAAGTAGAATAACGTAATGTTTTAACAATATATTTTGGTATATCTCTATGCCAGTATATGTAGCATCTCATCCTTTTTAAAGGCTGCAGAGTATTCTCTAGTATGACCTACTGTAATATATTTAATCTTTCCCCAGTTATTTTAAATTGTTTTAAATTCATTGTCATAGTGAACAGGACTACAGTGAGCATCCTTGTACATATATCTTTGCACACATATGCAAGTATTTCCTCAGGATAAATTCCTAAAATGGAACTAGTGTCAGGATGTGTACCACAAAATTTGATAGTCAAAATGTCAAATTGCTCTTAAAAACCACAGGAGAGTACTCATGAATAATAAATAACATACCTGATACCCTTCGGTGTAAGGGGAAGGGACTGGCCTAAGTGGAGGTATGGGGACAGGGTGGAAATCTAGGCAGAGAGAATAACATGAGGATAGGAGCGAGCTAGAAATGTGCGTGCCATGTTTATGGAATTCGAGTAAGGACTTGTGTAGATCATCTTGAAACCTTCATAAGAATACACAAGATGGAAGCTTAAAAGTAAAGGCTATTTGATACTATGTTGACAAATACCTGTCCCTTCCCAGCTTACACTGGAGTGACAGACTTTATGGGGCACGTGGAAGAGCTTTCCATAACAGCTGAGTTTAAAGATCAACCCGAAGGAGAGAGGTGACTGAGCAGAGGTTCTGAGAGGCACACAGCTGATTCCATGCCCTCGAGTATCTGATGGCGTGAAGGCCAGATGGGAGGGTGTTCCGGGGGGTGATGATCAAAGGGCTAATGGAGCTCCACAGAGCAGGTGCTCGTCCTTTTCAGGAGGGCCTGAGGCAGTGGCAGGAGGAGCAGGAGCGGAAGGTGCGAGCGCTCTCTGAGATGGCATCCGAACAGCTGAAGCGGTTTGACGAACGGAAGGAACTGAAGCATCATAAAGAGTTCCAGGACTTACGGGAAGTGATGGAGCAGAGGTGAGCCTCCCTGAGCTCTGACCAGGAGCCCAAAAGGGAGGAGTTGCACTTCTCCTGAGTCCTTAAATGTCCAAATAAAATAGCCGGAGGAGTTTGTAACCCAGAAAAATAACCAGCCTCAGAAAGGCGACCAGTGTATCACACAGGGAGGCTTTTAGGGGGCGTGGAACCACGTAGGAGGCACGGCTGTCGGCTGATGGTTTCTTCCTGCCATTTCTCATTCAGCTCCAGAGAAGCCCTGGGCCAGCAGGAGAAGCTGAAAGCTGAGCATCGGCACAGAGCAAAGGTCAGAGTCTGGGACGGCCAGAGTGGGTGTTTCAGGGTCTGGCTGTGACCTGCCCCAAGAGTCAGGTTCTGGCAGACAGTCCTGGAGGACCTGGCCCATATCGCAGCTCTGCATGGCTGACCCTGGGCAGTTTTTTCCCATTCCGGGGCCATCCGCAAAAGCCTGTCTCCCACATGGGACCAGAGGCATGTAGAAAGAGAAAGCCCAGGAGCCCCACAGAGAGGTCACCTCAGAGAGGTCACCTGCTGGCCCTTTCCGTAGATCCTCAACCTGAAGCTGCGGGAGGCAGAGCAGCAGCGCCTGAGGCAGGCGGAGCAGGAGCGGCTGCGGAGGGAGGAGGGCCAGGGCCGCCTGCGCAGCCTCTATGCCCTGCAGGAGGAGGTGCTGCACCTCAGCCAGCAGCTGGACGCCTCGGACCAGCACCGAGATGTGCTCAAGCTCGACCTGTCTGCCTTCCTGACCCGAGGCAACCAGCTGTGCGGCCTCATCTCGGGCATCATTCGGGCTGCTTCAGAGGTGAGGAAGCTTCAGGGGGCAGTGTCTTTGAAATGGAGAACCTTCAAAGCAGAATCATTTTCTGATTTAAATATAATGTCTGCTTATTATCACTTGTCATCTCCTTACCTAGAGGTAACCACTGTTAATATTTTCTATTTCTTTTCTGACAGAGTGTGTGCACGTGTGCGTGCATGTATATGCGTGTGCACGTGTGTGTGTGTTAGCTCCAACCCAAATTGGACTTCTATAGATATAGACTATCTTAGGTTAAAAAAATATTTATTTCTTCTGCTTACAAAATGCTTTAGTTCATTCAGTAATATATACTGAACTCCTACTATGCTTATGGTAAAAATTAAAACCTTACAGAAATGTACATTGCTTTTTTTCAGTTAACGTTGAATTTTGAATATGTAATTACTATAATTATTAAAATATTTTGATGTTTTTAAGGCAGTGTTAAAAACTGCAAGTCTCACCTCAATTCATACTAGGTAGTCAATAAATATTTGATGAACGGATGAAATTGGTTATACATCCAGCATATATCCGTACCAAAATTTGTTGAAAAAAGGATGCTTAGTCTTAAACATTTAAGTTTCTGTATTTGCACTGCCGTGCGTAACACTTCAGTGATGTCATTTTATATAGTATCCGCATTTCTAACTATTTCTTGGAGATAAAATTCCTAGAAACCGAATTACTTAGTTATGGAATTTTAAGGTTCTCGGCTCACATCCAAAAGTTGTGCCAGTTCATACTTTCATGAATTGTATGTTCTTGCCCTTCGTTCCTATTTCTATCACAGTTTGTGTTTTAAAAGAACAATTTATGAGTTCTAAATAATAAAGAACTTTAGCATTTATCATATTTGAGGCAGAAGTTTATTTTCCATTCAAACTCTTTTTATAAGTTTTGTTTACCTTTCTTTGTGTAAAATTTCAAACCTGTACAGTAGTGGAGAAAGCAGTATAATGAACCTTTGTGCACCTTTCTCCAAGAATCAACACGTGGCCGGCTGGTTTCATCTGTACTTCCACTCACCGCTCCTTCCCCCCGCCCCCTTCATGGTTTGACAGTAACTTTCAGGCACATTACTTCATTTGGAAAATACAGTAGTGTGTATCTCTAAAAGATAAAACTCTCTATTAACATAACCAAGATAGTAATATCACACTCAAATAAACTAATTATTTAGTGTGGTCAAATGTCGTGTTCAAATTTCTCTAGTTGTCTCAAAAACTTTTTTACTATTGGTTAGGAAATTAACATCCACAGAGGTTCAGCTGTGTGGTTTCCTATGTCTTCTACTTAAGTTTTTTAATCTCAAGGCTCTATCTCTCTTCTATCGCTCGCTCTCTCTCGTGCGCGCGCTCTCTCTCTCTCTCCCCCACTTATTTGAAAAACTCTGGATCATTTATTCTTTAAAATTTCCTACATTCTGGAAAATTCTAGAATGCGATTGCTAATTCTAACCCTGTGATGTATTTTATTTATTTATTTCTATTTTATCAGAGTTTGAGCCAAACAGACGACATGCTAGATGCTGGGAAGCAGGATCTCAAATGTATATCTTAATATGTTTTTTTAATTCCTGTATTTTCTGTAACTGGTCATTTTACTCAGGATAGCACTGTCCAACAGCGTTTTCTGTGGTGATGGAAATATTCTGTATCTGTGCTTTGCAGTACAGTAGCCACTAGCCACATGTGGTTATTGAGCACTTAAAAGTTGACTAGTGAGGCTGAAGAATTGTATTGTAGCTTAAAATGTTTTAAAAATCAAATTTCAGTGGCAACAGGTGGCTGGCTACCTTACTGGGCAGCGCAAATCTGGAGCCCTGATGAGATTCAGATTTGATTTTTTTTGGCACAGAACTTCGTAGCAGGTAGTATATACTTGTTGTGGCTCCACAGCAGGCACATTGTATCTGATGGTCTTTCCACTTGGGATGTTAAGGTTGACCAGTAGCTTCAGCTGTTGTCGGCCTTGTCTTCCAAAGATCCCCGCTAACCTTCAGCTAATGGTTCAGTGGCCATCGCTGGCCATTGATTCTATCCATTATTTCATTAATGGTGGTGGACTTTGAGTTTTTCTGATTTTATCATTCTTTTTGGAATTTTACTACAAAGAAAATTTCCCTATAAACTATTTATCTTGAGATACAGTCTATATAGGAAGGAAAGAATAACTATTCAATTCTTTCCATTTTCAGTTTTCAGAATAATGAGTTGCTTTTCTAACATTCTTCTACAGTAACTTATGAGGTTGTTTCTTTTTTAAATTATCATTAAGAACTTAGGAATCTTTATGTATTTGATGTGCAGTGTGTTTCAACGTGTTATAGTTTTGTTGTTGATAAAATCGTCTCATCTTTGATCAATGGGGGCACCTCCAACTTGGCTCCTCTGTCCTTTGATGTGGCCCCAAGTAGTGTTTGTTGCAGCAGAAAACAAGTGAGCCAAGATGTACCTACCTCATCTTGAACATTTTCTTCTCCAGACCTAGAATCGGGCATTTCTTCAAATAGCCTTATTACTTGTGGTTGGAAAGATATTTAGAAAACACAGTCTCGTTACTAGGGTTTGTCATTGTTTCTAGGCCTTTTCTAGAACAGAACTAGAAAATATGTAATTTTTTAGGTGAAAATACATTAGTTCACATTGATCTTTTTCATTCAGATATCGGATTGCAGCATTTATTTAACATCTTTAATTTTATATATGTATTATGTTTATTCCACACTGAAAATCTCAGTTTCTAAATTAATGAACATTATTTACTTTATCCTACTATGTATGGTATTATATGTATATATATGTAATTTCATAACATGCAATTTCAAAACATTAATACCAGTACTAAATATATGATTCCTGAATAACACTTTAAGATTTCTTTGCAATTTTGGGTGGGTTTTTTTGTTTTGTTTTGTTTTTGGCTATAGCTGTATAACACTAAGGGATGTATAATTAAATTACTATTTCACTTTACTTGAAATAATTCTCTTTATTGTTAAGCCACCAGTTTGATAGGTTGATTTTTTTCCATTTGTGCTTTGAATTGTTAAGAAATTTTTTCAACAGAGTTTAATTTTGTTGTATACTTTTTAAGCCATTTACGTGGTTGCAAAGTAAGAACTTCCAAAAAGGTGTATCTGGAAAAGTCTAGCTTCCTTTTCTTTTGCCCTCCATCCTGTTCATGGTCTTTCTGCAAATGACCATTTCTGTTAGCTTTTGGGTGCTGTCTTTATTCTTTAAAAACAGGAGCAAATACATACATATATATGCATCTCCACCTCCCAGGATTAAATATATATATACATATGTGTACACACACACACACACACACACACACACACTCACTCACTCACTCCTTCCCTCTCTCTCCCTCTCCCCCTGTCCCCCTTTACCCCTTTTTCCCCTCTCCCCGCTCTCCCTCCTGTACCTTGCTTTTTTTGCACTTAGCAGCTCATCCAGGAGATGACCGCTTAGCGTTTCTCTCATGTCTCTGTATGACTTCTTAGTACTCCGCCCCATGGACGTGTAGTATGACTATAGCTTATGACATTTTCGATGTAAAGAAATGTTGGGTTTTTCCCCCCTCATTTAATCCATCTGAAATTTATTAGATGATTGGTGGAAAATAAAGATCTTTATTTTTTTAAATATTCATACATTTTACCACCGCTTTTCCCCTCCTGATTTATAAATAGTCCTTACCCCAGTAAGTACTATCCTGGGACCTCTTTCTCAATATTCTTTCCTGTTTCCTTGATAGGTGTTTATTCTTAAACCAGGATCATCCTATTTTAATTGATGTAGCATTATAATACATTTTAATATTGAAAGAGAAAGCTTATGAATTTTCTGTAGAAAAAAATTTTTTTCTCTTCCACTCTGGGACGAGTTGGTTTAAAATGAGTGGGTTCATTGATTTAACAGACAAAACTATGAAACATGTTTATGGGACAGAACATAGAAATGATACAGAGCTTCTCAATTCATTTTATAATTCTAGTCGTAAAATTCTGACAAAATAGCACACTAAAAGAAATGTGCATGTTAGTTTGACTTATGCGCAATCTCATTTTTGAGCAGAGGTTATAAATAAAAGATAAACTCAAGCTCATTAGTGCCTCAAAAGAATAATGCACTATAACCAAAGAGCAATTATTCTAAGTATAATGTAAATCCGGTTCAATTGTTATGAAATCTATTCATGAAACTCGTTTCACTAATAGGTTAAGGGAGCAAAATTATATGTTATCAGATGTGAAAGTATATGCTAAAATTTGACATCCTTTCTTGATCGAAGGAAAAAAGCAGCATAAAAATATTTCTCATTAACATGATAGAGTGTATGTATCCACCTAAGACTACATTTCAGATATGCCATTAAAGTTGGGAAAGAAAGGAAAATATACCACATTATTACTGTTCTTCAGTGTTGTTATAGATGTTTTAGCCAATACAAGACAATAAAAAGAAAGTAAATATTTAAATGAAGAAATGTGATTATTGTTACTTGAGGAAGGTATGATTGTCTACCTAGAAATCCAAGAGTAAAAAGCTGGAAACTTAGATTTTTTAAGAGACAGCAGTAATATGACCAAAATTAGAAAAATTTTGACAAAAAGAGTTAAAAATATGATGGAATATAAAATACCTAGACTTAAACTAGCATGAAATGGATGTGCTTTACATAAAGAAAGATACAAAGCTTTATTGAATTTATAAAACAAAGCTTGATTAAACTGAAGTATTTACCACGTTCTTGAAGCCTTATTAAAGTAGCTATCAAATTTGCACAAATAAATTTAGTGAAAATATCTAATAAAAAATGTGTTGGACTGTTTCAAAAAGAAACCTAGTAATGAGGGACTTACATTATCAAATATAAAATGTTTTTCTAACACTACAGTTAAAGTAAGTTCTTCTTGCCTAGGTACAGACAGCAAGATTAGTGGAACAGAATAGCAAGCCCAGAAGGAGACACAGTTTTTGTAGGTAATTAATATTTTATAAAGGTATCATTTCAGATCATTGGGGTAAAAATGGATTATTTAGAACCATAAAAGTAAAGATTAAATTTGTGCCATTCTTTCCTCTTAATTTCATATTTCTTGGATGTTTAAAAACAAAAAGAAAAATTATTTTCAGTGGGGGAAAAAAAAGGTGAATATTTGAATTATATTAAGGTATAGAGGCCCTGTATAAGCACAGCAATAAAAGCAGAAGTCAGGATGGAAAAGATTAATAGATAGGAGTATATAAAAGTTAAAGACACGTTGCAAGTTAGGAAACATTTGTAACACATAAAGCAGACCAAAATTAAATGGCCTTGATGTAAAGAGAGCCCTTATGATTTATGGAAAAAAGATAAATTACTCTCTACTTCCATCCCACTAATGAAAAAAATGAACAAAGGGTGGGAAAAGCAGCTTATAAAAGTACAAATATGTAATTGTCTAATAAATTTCAAAGTAAATTCAAAATCACCATTACTACATGTAATGCAAATTAAAACAGTATTAGTTTTATCTAGACAATTGTTACAAGCTTTTGTTTATTTTTTTTACTTTTTTTTTTTATTTTTCTTTTCTTTTTTTTATTTTTTGTTTTTTAGGCGAGGCAAACCTTGGTTGACCTCACAGATTGCAAGGACCTTGTCAGCTTACAATCCCTTATTTTTTATTTTTTAAGCCTACAGCACCTGGTCTTCCTAGGTGGTCTCCCATCCAAGTACTGATCAGGCCCGACCCTGCTTAGCTTCCGAGATCAGACAGGACCGGGATTGTTCAGGGTGGCATGGCCATAGACAACAGGCTTTTAAAGTGTTCCAGCCAGTGCTGGTCGGTGGACGTGATGGCAAATCAGTACTTCCTTCAAAAGAACAGGAAAGCAGACGTATCACCATGCCGAGGACTGGTACTCCACTGGTGTGGCAGTTCCAGTTCCGGAAATGGGAGGTGCGATTCAGCCCCACAGTGTTCCTAGGGTATAACCGCTAAGCTCTGCCTCTGTCACCCGGACAGAACGGCTTTCCCTCGGCAGAGGACCAAGCTGTGGCCGAGAGAGCACTGCAGGAAATGCGGGACCTCCTTTCGGACTTGCAGCAGGAGATCTCCAGGGCCTGCGAAGAGAAGAGGAGGCAGGACGAAGAGGAGGCCCAGGCGAAGCGGCAGGAGTCGCTGATGCAGCAGGGACCAGAGGTCCACAAAGAGTCCCCCGCTCCCAGCCAGGGCCCAGCGGGGAAGCAGAACGAAGGTGAGTTTGGGTGTGGATACAAATACAGTCCTTTAACTTGGCGTTGTTTCAGAATGCGAAAAGGCACAAGAATGTGTTTTGAATATACTGTTAAGATTAACAGGACAATTTGCCAGAACTTGTACGTAATGTAAAATTCAGTACTTTTACTGAATTACATTTAGTTTTGATTGATATAGAGCCTGACTTCAGATTCTAACACTTTTCACGAGGACTCGAAATGCTGTATAATTCTGGTAGAAGTATTATTCCAAGTATTGCTGTTACTGAGTATTTTAAATAAATATGTACAAAATACAAGATCCTTTCGTACACAAGAGAATCAATATAGCACAGTGGTTGAGAATGCTGGCTTTGGAGCCAGATCAGTGCGAATCTAGTTTTCCTGCCTCCTAGCAATGTGACTTTGGCAAATGGCTTAACCTTTATATGTTTCCTTATCTTTTCCCTTATCTATAAAATGAAGATAATAATAGTATCGACTTCGTGGGGTTATTGGGACAGCGAAAGCAGTTACAGAAAGTGATTAGAACAGTACCTGGCTCATACTGTGTTCAGTAAGAACTAGCTATTATGAGAGCCTCTCTCATTCTTCAGATCTCCAGGTGAAGGTCCAAGACAGTACGATGCAGTGGTACCAGCAGCTGCAGGAGGCCTCCGGTCAGTGCGTGCTGGCCTTTGAGGGACTGACCAACAGCAAAGATAGTCAGGTAGGGAGGAGTGTAAGTTGGGCATCCTTTGGGCCGACAGTGCTCCGAATGGCCTTGTGTCTCAAAGGAATGTAGCCACTGTGTCCCATTCCCTAATCTTAATATATCTACTCACCTCTTCAGTACACTGTCTGCCTGTCACTGTTTTCTTCTTGGCAGGCCAAAAAGATAAAGATGGACCTCCAGAAGGCTGCCACCATCCCAGTGAGCCAGATCTCCACCATTGCAGGTTGGTCGAAGGAGTTAAGAACATGGCCCCTTGCTCCATTTTATTATTTTTTAAGACTCCAAATCTCCTTATCTGTAAGGTTCCTATACACAGTATGTTTGAACAAATGTTGGCAGTTGGATCAGGTGAATGTACGTTATATGCATTCTATTTCACTCTTCTTCATTTACTCTTCAGCATGTATAAGGTAATCGTTACGTGTTCATTGACTTAAAAATAAAAGCTGTATATTAATAGAAATTTATTTAAGATGGCTCTTACTAAAATTGAAAGTTACCGTGGTAAACGTCACCAAGGGAACCTAGGATGTGACTTGTATTCTTTGCTTTTGTCCTGCATGAGCTTTTCCAGACCTGAAGCCCGCCCGTTAATACTTTTAAACTCCTTCCTTTTCTCTCCAGAGACTGGGATTTAGAGAGTAGGAACCAGACATGAGCAAAATCTTTCTTCTTTAGAAACAGCGGTTTGTTTTCTATAGAGCTCTCAGTGTGGAGGCCTCCAAAGTATAGGCTGTGCTGCCCAGTGGCCGGGGAGCTGAGGAGTGTGTACAACCCGAAGGCTGCTCTGACTCAGCTCGGGTCCCAGTTCCCCTGGTTAACTCGTTGCCTAAAAAGCATAGGAAAGTTGCAATTTCTTCCCTTGAGAGGCCATACGGCAGAACTTACATATCACTTTGCTGCCTGAAATCTTTCTGAAATAGGACGAGGTGTAAACAAACACATATCACTTTCTGGAATTTAAAGTGCCATTTTCTTGGATACCAGCAGCCGCTGGGAGAGGTGACTTGACAGCCATTCCATCCCTTCACCACTCTCCTCAAGTCTCTCCCCCTCAGCTGACCGCAGACAGCCTTGCCTCCTCCTCCTCCATCAGGTGTCAGGTGTGCAATCCTCTGACGCCTGCCCCGTTCACCTCTGCACAGCTGCATTTACCTCGGCGTCTCCTGTTTCAGAGGATGAGGTGTCCTTCCAGCCCACACTCATCCTTCCGCCTACTCCTCTGTTCCTGTCGCCTCGTCACTTATTTCCCTTCTCTTCTGCTTTCTGCAAAATTACTCCCTTTTTCAGGCTCCTTTCCCTTTAAACATGCGCGAGTCACTCACATCCTAAAACGTTTCCTTTGATTCTACATCTCCCAAAGATTTTGCTGGTCTCCTCACGTTTCCGTGTGGCGTTGTCGATTTCCCCTTTATGAAATGTGACAGCTTTGGCTTCCACTGAGCATTAGTTTTCAGGTTCTTCTCCTCTTCCCGCTGGGGCTTCCTCGGTCTCCTCCCTGCACCTCAGTCGTAGGTGATTTCTAGGGATCTGCTCTCCCTGCCAGCTCGTCTCATTCTGCGTACCCCCGTGACCTCACACATCACCTTGATGCCAAGGACTCTCACATCTGGGTCATTCCTGTGCTCTGAGTTTCAGATTCTCTAGGTCCAGCTACCGAGGGACATCTCTGCCTAGATGGCTCTCAGATACCCCAAGTTTAATGTGTTCAGATCTGAACTCATGATCTATTTTTTTTTTTTTTTTAGGGGAGGCAACCCTTGGTCCTTTGGTTGACCTCACAGATTGCAAGGACCTCGTCAGCTTACAATCTCTTATTTTTTATTTTTTTTACACTTACAGCACCTGGTCTTCCTAGGTGGTCTCCCATCCAAGTACTAACTAGGCCCGACCCTGCTTAGCTTCTGAGATCAGACAGGATCGGGCTTGTTCAGGGTGGCATGGCCATAGACTCGTGATCTTTCTTATGCCTGCTTTTTCTCCTGTTTGCACTAAGTAATCAATAGCACCGTTATCTACTCCGTCACCTTAGCTGGAATCTGGGAGTCACTCCCATGGCTGCCTCCTCTGTTTCATTCTCCATATCTAATTAGAGTAACGTTACTTAAAGTAATTAGCTTGGCAGGGTGTTTCTAAACTGGACATGCTGTATTAATTTAAACTTTGATTATGAGTAACAGAAACTAATTCAGACACACACACAC